CTTGCTCTTGGGTCTCTCGCAGCATTGCTGCCATCGTCGTCACATCGGTGGGTTCCACGTTCCACTGCCATTTTGAACGCTCATCCCGAGCTTCTGCAGGGGGCTTCTGCTCTCCCGAGAGGGCGTGAAAGGAAGACAGCGAAGCAAAAGAGCGCCCTCGAGAGCACCAGCAGCCGCAGGACCAGCTCCTCCGCACTGTTGGCGGCCGGCAGCGATTTCGCAGGCTTCAGGCGCTGCCCCTGGCTCCTCGGCAGTGCAAAATTCGGAAACTGCAGTGTCTGCTGTTCGGGGCGAGCTTGCTCTATGGTGGCAGGTTGGTTTTGATGTGTTGGGCTGTAGGCTGGTGCTCCAAGTCCTCCTGGCTCGCTAGTAGCGAGGTATGGGGAAGGTTTTGCAGCCCATTAGCACTATCAGAATCAAGATTGCACGTCTTTGCTAGGATTCCAACTTTCGGCTTTCCGTTGAACAAGTGTCAGTAGTGGGACTGGATTCTGCGGATGAGCACCCGTTGACAGGAACGTGCCTGATGCCGTGTTGGTTCAGTTGGATTTCCGCCACTTTTCCCCAAGACAGCATGCAGCCGTCTTGCTCACGTAGTTGGTACAGTCAAAGAGTAGGAGGAACGTCAAGCAAATGACCTGCTGCCGAATTGAAGCTCTACGGGCCCAGCTGCAGGTCTTGAACCAACTCAGAGTTTACTCGGACCTCTCGGGAGGTGTGCAGACGGTGTCGCATCTAGAGCGAGCAAATCCGGTTGCAGAGCAGAAATTCACAGGTGTTGATCAGGGGCAGGCTTGCACGTGGCTTCACTTGCCAGCCGCCCAGCTTTGGGTCAGTCTGCAGTTTTCGAGCTCGACCACTTCTCGGGGGTCCGAGGCTGATGTGCTGCAAGGCCTTTCTGCAGCCCCTTGCTCTTGCTCTTGTTCTTGTTCTTGTTGTTGTTGCGATGACTCCCCGTGGCTCTCGGTAGCTGCATACGTCAGAACCTTGCCCGCGACCATGTGGAGAGCGGGGATCAGTGGGCAGTCCAGGCCAGCACGCAGCTTTGTTCCAGGCCATTCCAGGGTGTTGTGGTTTTTCGAGACTTCAGGAGTTGCTGGAGCACAATGCTTTGGCCGTCATCCTACGACTTGTCAGGTGGGGAGTGCTTTCTGATCTCCGTCTGCTTGCATTAGCAGATCAGCGTCCAAGCAACATCCAGGGTGTGCTACAAGTCCCACGATGTCTGGATCCCACTGACGTGCAGCACTGCTGCGGCTTCCATGGTAGTTAATCACTCTTACAGCAAGTTGCGGATCAAGATGTTGCTGAGAATAAAACTGACCATGACCACCACTATGACTGCGAACGGTGCTTGACTGAGGCTAACCTGAGGGTTGTCCTGGCGGCCTTGGATGCGATCACTCAGATGTGCATGGTACGCCCCATGGCACTGAAGCTTTCCGTAGATCCGTAGCAGTAGCACTGACGTGCACTGACCCTAGTCTGCGTAATCCATCGTTGCAGGATGACGAGTGCGCACTAAAGTTGCGGCTCCAAGCTGACGGCTTCGTTGCTCTCGGAGCGCTGATGCTCGAGCTCTCACCCAGGCAAGATCTTTTTTGGGTAGTCGTAGTCTGCAGAAGCTGAGGGAATTGCTCTGTGCCAGTTTGGGACCCCTTCCGCTTATGGAAGATGATGTCGAAGGAAGCTTCGAATGTCAGGTGGGCGCAAGAGTGCATCTTGAATTTCTTGAACCAGATGCGTGGTTGCTGTTGCGCTCGATGTGTCTTTGAGCTTTGCTTTGCCTTCCACCGCGGAAACGGCCAGAGACGAAGTTCTCCTGCAAAGAATCCTTGAGAGATCCCTCTGAAGGCGAGGGATGTGCAGCGGGCGGCTGCCAGGTCCCGGACTCAACTCCTGAAGTCCACAGGCCTTGAGCCCAGAAGCTCGACAGGAAGCCGCAAGCCATAAACCCCTAGCGAAGGAGCCCGAAACTCCAACCCTAAACCCACAAGCCCCGGACTCCCCTTCGCTTACTCCACCCACCTCAAAACCCCGGAAACCTACAAGCCGTAAGCGCAAGCCGTTAGGCCTTGGATCCCAAGTCGTACACCGAAAGGTTGCTACGGTTCCTGTTCGCCGTGGAGCGGAATCGCAAGGACCCACGTCTGCTGCTGGCACTTTGGAGTTAGAACCCCTCCGAACCAGGTCTGCTGTCTTCATTGTGGATTCTTGGGTCGTGTAAGGAATCTATCCAGGCTAAACGGAACACGCTGCCGAGAAGGCTTTAGGGCTGTGAAGGCCCTACGAGGAATCCATTAGGCCACTGGGAAAACCCAAGCAAGCCGGCACTTGAAGGTGCGTGGGCCTCTCAGAAACCACGGAGTCTCCCTTTCAGGAGCCTTAAAAAGATGAGATGACATTCGGCTTTCGAAAACACAAATACAAAATACGATACGTTTTTTGAGCTTGTGATGTAAAAGCAAGTTTGCGCTAAGACGCCTTCCTCCTCACATGT